TCTTTCTCCAAGTTTTACTTGAACACGGGACATTGGGGGACAAATGATGGGTCAAGCCCAAATAGCCCAATTTATGTGAGAAGTCCAAACTCAAATGAGGAGCCCAACCTCTTGAAAAATCCACCAAGACTAATATAGTCCAAGACCAATTAGACTCTTTGTTTAGCCACGTGATCAAGAGGGAGAGCATGAGAAGTTCTATCTGCACCACCGAAGGAAACAGTCCACTCTCACGTCATCTTTGACCGCATCTCATAGAGAGCTCCCCAACCTCCTCGCCCGTTGAGAAGAAATCGTGAGCTCCACCAGAATAATCTTTTAGTTGCTGTAAAGTAGTCCCTAATCTGTTAAGGGGACTTCTATAAATTGCACGCGCCCATCAACACTTGGGAGGGATGAGACTGATTGCTTGACATCATATCTTCCTTGATTCTCCCTCAAAGCTCATATTCTCTGTTCTCCATACCCTTAAATTAATAAAATACCCGGCAACTAGAGCCATTTAAGAGTGGACGTAAGTCGAATTGATCGAACCACTATAAATCTTGTCTCCTCCAATTTTCTCATTACTTTCACTACATTTATTACTTACACTTGACAGGTGGTGTGCAAAACCATTTTTGTGCATTATCAGAGTCAACAAGGAGATGACATGTGTCCGCGGAACTAAGTTCCCTTGAAAAGCTTAGATGACGACACATGTTCTCGGCATGACCAACTCCTCTGAGATCTATTTTCAGACACGTCACCTAGGCTCCAATACCTCGAGGCATGAGTGGCTGACTGATGACCATCGTTACTAGAAGATAGAATTGGTCAATAATTATTGTCTTGCCTTCCCAAAAGAGTCAGAATGACAATAAGAACACACCAGTGACCAAAGGTAATGAGACACAAGGCACACACAAAATTAGGGGTCAATGGACAAACATGCCCCTACTCGTGGATAGCCATCACAAAGAGGCTTTAAATGATTCATCAGAAGAATGAGACGTATTTATTACTCGGAGAGTCTTGAAGGAAGAGCATTAAGTGCTCGGGGCCCGAGCATTTAATACCCAAGCTTCTTTCATGCAAAATGGAAGACACCCTGCCCAATGACTGAACACCGTTTGTTGTCTTCCAAATGGACCAATGGGGGATTTCCTCTTCAAGGGGTTCACCTGTCCACAATGATTACCTCCACCGAGGTATAAGTAGCACTCACAAACTCAAAATAAAGGTATGCAAAACCGTATTCAAGCAATAAAACAGTATTTTTCCTTCCCCTCTCTCACATACTAACTTCATTGTCAGAGAGGTCACGCGCGGAGAGTACTCTGGCGCCCTTCTAACCTTTCTTTTTGAGTGACAGAACCCATCTCGACATGTCGGAATTGCGCGGACTGCTGAAAAAGTAATTTATCATCACTCCTTAAATTCTTTTTTGCCTCCGTTTATCACGGGATCGTCGACTTCTCAAATAATCTTGAATTCACCAAAGGAGATATCTATCCATTATTTTATTGTGCGAAAATCACCGCACACAATTTACAAGATCGATCTTATTGCAATTACGTTACGAATGTTTTTAGCTCATTCTATCAAAATTTTTCAACCACTTAAAGGCCACCCCCACGTATTAAATTTCGAGATTTATAATCCCAGATACTGAACAATTGAAAACACCAAGAATATATGCCATGAATATTCTCGGTGCATCCTATCTAGATTTTTCAAAGATTTAAGTCGCTCTCATCAAAGAAGAAGATATTTAAACTAAGGACTTTTATTTTTTGTAGCGTGAACTTCTGACCAACTCTTTTAGAATTTTTGTTATTGTTTAAGTATTACGTGATACTTAATCGGTTGAACAAGCAAACCATGTTTTATTAAGAGTGATGTTTTTACTTGAAAAAGAAATTCTCACATTTTCCTTCTTTGGGGAAATTCAAAAACAGAGTCTCTACATTGTATAGATGGTGTCTTCCTCTTTTTCACTGATTTTGTGGATGATTCAGCTTGGTTTAAGGAGCAACGAAAAGGGGATGATTGTGAATTTGAGTTAAAATTATAATATAATTTTGTTAAATTGCCTATGATATATTTTAGAAAAATTTCATCCAAATCATCTCTAGATAGACATATCTTTAATAAGACTCCCTCTATTTTCTAAATTTTTTTATGTATTAAAATTCAAAACGATTAAAATTCAATTTGAACTAATTAAAATTTGAGTCGTTTAAAAATTATATTTTTTTAAGTATTAAAATTTTAGCTAATTAAAATTCTATTCAAGGTTCAAATCAAATTTTAATTAACTTGTATTAAATTTTAATCTACCCGATTTTTTATATATAAAAAATCATAAATTTTATTGACTCAAATTTTAAAACGTAAAAAAAAAAATTTAATCAACCTAAATTAAATTTTAATAAATAAAAAAATATAAATTTTAATCGATTCGAAACGAATTTTAATATGTAAAAAAAACTTTTAATAGGTTCAAATTTTAGTACTTAAAAACTAAAATTTAATCGGCTCGAATCGAATTCTAATCGACTCAAATTTTAATATATAGACATAATAATTTTAGTCAGATCGAGTTTTAATATGTAAAAAATAAATTTTAATCGGCTCGATTTTTTGACAAAAAGATTGTTTAGGGTTTATGTAAGATTAATTTTAATATTTTAGATAATTTATTTTTGTTATAAATGATGGTTTAATTGTAGAATGTGTCAATGATGTTTAAATATAAACTAAAAAAGATGTCGATGATTTTTTTTATAATAGAAGATGTGTCTTTAATGATATGATAAACTAAAAATAGTATAGTTAAAATTTTTCCATCATATTATCATGAACATTGGAATATGAGAATTTTCGCTATGTTAAAGATCTCGTAGTGAAAAAAAATAATAATAATAAAAGGGGATCTAGTAGCGCGTTCGATGAGGGTGAAACTGTAAAAGAATGGAACCACCAGGGGACATTTTCTGTTTGGGTAACTAACATAATATTTCAAAAATAAAAGGATGCCTTTTGAAATTATTAGAAATCACAAGGGGTCCGGCTATAATTATCCTAAGTAGTACAATGAAAATGATTGAAAGTTATTTTGTTTGATTCTTTTTTAAATGCCGACTTTGCAGGTGCATATGGGATGGGGAAAGGCTGCCTACCATACCAAAAATTATAAATTTTAAGAATTAGTTATTATTTTTTTTAAAGTGTCGGTTATAATTTTAAATGACATGATTGACCATAAAAGATTATGATTAATATCTGAGAGATTATGATTGATTATGAGTCTCTATGGTCGATCATGGTCTTTCTTTAAACAGTTATAACTTTTTTTTAAAAAATTATGACTTTATTATATAAAAAAATGATAACCGATAGAATATGAGGTTACGCGCCAATAAGAATTTGACGTGTAGATATTCACAATTGTCAAAATGCACGCGATTCACTAAGAGGAGGAGCCAAGCAATTATGACACACGAGTCCAAGTATGCCACTAAAAATCTAGCATTAAATGAAATGTGACAGCTCATTGATGTGAATTGTCTTAGTTTGATAGATCATTAATGAGCGTCTAATTCTCAAAGAATGTGAAAACAATTATCATTAGAAGGCATTAATGGTCACCGTATCGACGAGAGCCCTTGGGGGATTCTAAAAGGATCTGTTTTCTCCTCACGAAAGCTCGGGTATATGCTCTGAGTGCTGATGTGAAGCACTCAATCGTCGGGGATCGAACCATGAATACTCGGCAATTTCAGAGAGAAGATTCATTTGTCTGAGCAAATAGCATTAATGAGACATGACAAAATAGCATTCATTATACTAAATTGTGAACCCAATCTATTAAATTCTAGGATGGGACCCGAATCAGAGTTATTATTATGGATTTAGATATAAATAGCTCTCAAAAGGCTAAGGTACACAATTTTGAGCAAAGAATAAACTGTGCATTTTGACTTGAACACTAATTGACTTAAATTTCGAAGGGGATTAATTGGGTACACACCCGACCTCTTTTATGACTTCTTCTGTTTCAGGTTCATCATTCTGAATTGTTTAGAGAGTCTCTATCTCAATTCATTCCAGGAATCCACCTCGTGTAGTAACCAATAATATTGATATCGAATTTTTTTTTTTTTTGGTACGGCAGGGTTTTATCAAATGAGATACATTGGACTTGTGTTGCCTATGTGTAGGGTTGATAATCAAATTAAATTTGTCAAGCTTATTTTTTTAAATGAGTTTAAAAAATTATTCAAATTTTACTCGTTTAGAAAACGAGCCAAGTTTGAACAGAGCTGAGCCCGAGTTTGAGCTGAGCTTTACATATAAATAAGTTGAACTTTACAAGTTCAAGTTAAATTTTTTAGGCTCGTTTTTGAAATAAATTTAAAAATTTGTTCAAACTTAATTTGTTTAAAAAATAAGTCAAACTCAAATGAGCTCTATACAAACCAAGCTCGAATAGCTCCACTCAATTAGTTACGTGACTCTCTGCCGCAATAGAAAAGGTCGGCTATCAAGATGGAAGAGACCCCCGACCCATGCAATCAATGCCATGGCAAGCAAATTATTGTAACAGTAATATTAGATTAATTCGATTTTGGGATTAAATTTGGAGTTCAAATGATATGACAGCTGACTATTTGAAGTTTTTATGAGGACCCAAATGACATGACACAAAATAAAAAAATCCAAATTAACTATTATGTTATTTAGGCTCTAAATTTAATTTTAAAATTTGATCAATCTAACATTACTCTTATTGCAATCACGAACTCATGCTAGAAGATTACTTAAAGAGATATTATTTGAGATTATTATTTATATGTATATATATAATAATACAGTCAAAAAATTAAAATTTTAATTTATAAAGTAGTTAAAATCGCTCCAAATTTTATTTATTTTAATCATACAATACAAAATTTCCATGATATTATTATAACAAAAAAACAGGAAACTATCACACATATTACAATCCATGTATTCTATGATCCATTCAAGAAAGAAGCCAATCGAGTCATCAAAGGTTTAACCTTCTCACAAGTTGGGTTGATCAAATGAAACCCATGACCCTCCCCTTCTGTTTCCATAATCTCCACCTCTCCACCCCACGCACTCTTCTTTAACGCCTCATAATAAGCCAATCCTGTCTCTCTCAACCGATCTTTCTCTGCAAGACAGAACAGTACCTTCTCGCAACTCAGGCTCGACAACCTCGGATCAATGGCCGGGTTTAGCCTCGGGTCATCATGCTGACCACTACTATTTGGACATAAAAACTTGTACAGATTGTCCACTTCCTTTCCCCCAAAATATGGATGCACCAACAAAAGTCCCACAATTTTACATGAAACTGCATATATTTGACCCGACTTTAGAGTTGTGGGACTCTCGTCCACTGTACCGTCTTTTTGGAAATAAGTGACTCCAGCACGAATTGCGACATCATTTGCAATGTTGGCTCCTGCGCTCTCGCCGCCCAAGAACAGCCGTTGAAAATCGGCATGATCATTGAGCCATGGCTCAGGGCCTGTTCCTTGGGCATGTGAGATTACCCATTGAAATGCTGTCCATGAATCGTCGTATGCGATCGGAAGAGGGTGCTCCGGCGCAAGTCTGTAGTCGACCGACGCCACGACGGCGTTAGATTCGGCGGCGAGAGAGCTAAGGAAGTTGTGGAAGGTGGGGTTGGAGGGAGAACCGACGCAGAAAGCCCCGCCATGGATGTGGAGCAGGAGAGGAAGTTTCCGAGTTGGGTCGGTGATTTTAGGGAGGAATAGACGGACATAGATGCCCGTTTCCGGCGAGATTACGACGTCTTTGGATCGGATGCCGGTGATGGGATCGTCGGACGGCGGAGCAAACTGAGGGGCGTGGAATCTTTCTATACTACCATCTTTGTGTACACGAAAATAGGGAGAGAAATCATGGGCTACGTCATTGGTGCTTGAGTCCATTGTAGGAGAGAGAGAAAGAGAGAGAGGGGTAGAGGGGAAAGAATCCTCGATTGAATTTATAAAGGGTGTGCGTCAATGGTGCATCAGATTTTCGTTTAGATTAATCTCATTTTACACCTTAAAAATCGTTCAAATCTCAATTAATATTTTCAAAGAGTAAAAATCTTAATTTACACCTTCAAATATAGAAATTTGTATCAATGTGTACCCCAAAGATAAAAAATTTTAATTTGCACTCTCAAAGATAGAAATTTATATCAATGTGCACCCAAAAAATAAAAAATCTCAATTTATACTCTCAAAAATAGAAATTTGTATCATTATGCACCTAAAACTAAATTGATAAATTATACTTAGATCCCCTCATGTTTGTTATTTAATCATTTGGACATCTTTACATTTAAAATATTACTCATACATCTTATGACATTTGTACACGTACAACATGTAACTCATTTTCATTGATATCTGTTAATATAACCGTTAAAAAAATATAATTTTATCTAATAAAAAATTATAATTTCATATTACCCTTATTTTATGAGTCCAATATTCTCTAAAGTTCAAAATCAAACTTATCATTTGAATGTCTAATAAAATGTAAATATTTATATAATATTTTTTATATTTTCCTTTATATAAATATCTACGTTCTATTAGACATTCAAATGGTAAGTTTAATTTTGAACTTTATAGTATATCGAATTTACAAAATAAAAAATAATATGAAATTATAATTTTTTATTAGGATAAAATCATATTTTTTAACGATTATATTAACATATATCAACGAAAAGTGGTTATGTGTTACATATGTACAATCGTCATGAGATGTAGGGGTAATATTCTAAATGTGAAGGAGTTCAAATGATTAAGTAATAAACATGAGAGGATCTAGATATAATTTATCGATTTAGTTTTAGGTGCACATTGATACAGATTTCTATCTTTTAGGGTATAAATTGAGATTTTTTATCTTTGAGGGTGTACATTGATACAAATTTCTATCTTTGGGGGTGTAAATTAAAATTTTTAATTTTTGAGAGTATAAATTGAGATTCGAATGATCTTTCGAGATACAAAATGAGATGAACCCTTTTCGTTTTTACGAAATTTGAGAAGTATTAGATGTAAATAATTTTATTCCAATAAGCGCGAATTCCACGAAAGGGTGGCTACAAATTACAAGAAATGTAGATTGGGACAGAAAGAGATTTTTGTAGAGTGATATAGTGGGGAGAAAAGAGCAATTTGTTGAATGAATAAAGGGTGGGTAGAAATTACAAGAAATGTTAGGTTGGGACGTGGAGTGGTAGTTGTTGATGGGTTGATTTCAATTCCACAGGAGGGGAGGGGTCTGAAGAATTCAATAATGGGTGTGTCGCAAAAAGACTGGAATTTGTAGAATCAAACTTCTTGACCAGACTGGAATATTTGGGCATAGACCAATGGTACCCTAATAATTTCGTACCCTAATAATTTCGTCTATAACCATATCTAAGAGATAATTGTACACCATCTTTTTTTCAATATTTTAGGACAGAAGAGAAAGCATTATCATGTGTTGATGTAATCAATGCGTGTTGAATTTTTTTATGGACCTAGAAAGATATTTTGAAATTGGATTTTTTTTTATATTGTCATACGTAGAATTTTAACACTAACTCCACGGTCACTCCAAGGCGGTTTGAACTTTGCTCAGGGTGGAGTTAAAGGTAAGAGTCTCATTAGATTACTAAAAACTATTTTCAATCCAAAGTTCATGGCTAAGATTAATAGAGATACTATTAATATCTTGCCTTTTGCCTAAAGGTAATGCTATAGGGGCTTTATTCTTGTGATTGTTGATAGAATCCATGGTCATTCACACTAAAAACGAGAACCAAATGATGTAATATTTTCTTTTGTTTTGACTTATGCCCAATTTTCCTGATAGTGGTTTTTTTTCTTTGACTGATGGGCAATGGAATTGTTTAATGGAAAGTGATACATAATTTCCACCCAAGAAAAATTAAATTAAAGCACTCAAACCCACTTTTCAGCTTTATACATGTAAAAGTGATGATCGATAGATTTCCATTCACTACAAAGTTTTGCTCACTAAGACTATATTTTGTTTTTACATTTTGCTTTCTCTTCGTTTTGTCGACACTGAAGAAGTATTTGAACGGATAGTTTAAGTGATAATAAGAATAAATGAATGTCTTTAATTTAAATCTTGATATTTTATTGGGTCAAGCCATGAGAGAATTATCTTTTATGAATATTTTAATTCCAGCATGAATGGTCTTCGTTTGACCAAATTAGGTAAGAGATTAGTCAAGGTAGGGATAAGCTGGTCTGAACATCCCTGATCATTGAACCAAAAAAAAAATAATTCTCATGAAATTTTAAGTTTCGTAGCAGCTAAAAAAATTCTTTTGAGAGTGGTATTGTATTTTGAATTAAAACGACCACTTTGAAATGCAACTAACTCTTAATAGTTAATTTTAGACTATATAAGTTACGATTGAGGAATTTATGTGATCTCTCTTGTTCTAAAAACACAACTACCCATGCAAAGAGTATGTATGCACGCGCGCATGTGTTAGTGATGAGCGAAGGTGGAAACGAAGGTGAATGTGAACATGGTTTTGTACAGTTTGTTTGTTGATATTGGGCTGAACAATGAATTCTTTTCTTAGTTTTTTATTTTCTAATTTCTTAGGGATAGAATTAGTATCTCAAAAAAATAAATAAATAATGTTAAAAAAATGGTACTTTCTTGTCTCGAACATTGTTGTCGTCGGTCAATTTAGTTTGCTTGAAATTTAGAGGGAATAAATTGTAATATTTAAAACTATAGGAAATTTGTTGCAACAAGAAGCATAGTTGGAGGGACAAATTATAATTAAACCTTCCCTTTTTAATGCTTGAATTTTTGTTATTTGCATAATCTCAGTCACTGTTGACCATACCCTTGGGTAAACTTAATTCTCCCAATGTTATAGTTTGAAACTTATTTTTCAAATTCAATCAATCTTTTAAAAAACGTTAATTGAAATGATACTTTCGTCGATCATTGTATAGCAAATTGAAAAACGTACCCTTTCCTCGATGACACTGTTTTTGTGAGAATACGTCATTTCAAATAACTTTTTTAAAAGTGATTGGAATTATTTTGAAATTAAGTTTATCCAAATTTCACAAGTATTCCTCTCATACCACTTTGACAAATTTCAATCATTTTAAAATACAAAGACTATTAAGTAAACATTTTGGCTATATAGTGAATTAATCTCTATTTGAAATCATTAATTAAATAACTTAATATATTTTTAAGCCTTGTAGTTGTAGGTTGGTTGAACTTAGTTGTCGCTCATCGATTTAAGTAATACCAAACTAATTAGATAAATAATAACAATCCTTATTAACACGATACTTAAATGAATGATCGTGACTTCTTTTGATAATGATGTATCGCTATTTTTCCTTTTATTTGAACCACATTTTTTATTTGTGGACAAAGATTTTTAAGAAATAAATTATAAAAAAAACTTATTAAAACATTAATACAAAAATCTACTGTTAGACAAGACTGTTCTACTAAACGATGGCATTTCTCAGTTCCATACTTCCATTGCTTTTGGTTCCTTTTCTCACTTGGGTTCAGATCTGACCACAATCAGTTTGAAAATAGAGAGAGTTGCTGATTTCTAAGTTGAAGAAAAAACATAAATTAGCCAAAAAAAAATATGGAAATTTGATTTATAGATATAAAATATAAAAATTTTATACGCGTCTTATTTTAATTGGATGAAGATTCAGAATTCCTAACAAGAACATTGACCAGTTTTTTTTTTTTTTGATCAAAGAACATTGACTAGTTGACTAATACAACATGGTGCATGTTGGACATGTAAAGCCCTAATTTTGACTGGACCAAGTTCCCCTTTGTACAGCACCTTTGAGAAATTTGAGGGAGACCTGATGATAGTTTGGTAAGGGATGGGCCTCATCTGAGAGCTCAACAAAGCGTATTGACAAAAAGGTATCAGCCATCGGAGAAATATCAAGAAGGGGAGGTCCTACCGGCGCGTGAGATACTCAACCCCACTACGGCGTGGAGGGCAGTAAAGGTTGTAGACAATTGTGTGCAGACCTGGGACCAGGTAACGGCAGAGGAATGTGCGCACTCATCTGACACCGAGGTGGTTAGAGCAACTCCAACAAGGCTGTTTAAAATAACTATTCAAAATATATTTAAATATTATATTATTTATTTTAGTTAATCATTTTTTTAAATTCACTCCAACAACACTACATATTTTAGTTAACCACTTAAATTAACTTTAACTAACTTTCAATAATAAAATTTTAAACACTACACTATGCCAAGTCATCACCATATGATATGTGAATTTGGTCTAGTAATCACAAATATGGAAGAAACCCCAATTCAAAGGCAATTCAATAAAATCCAATTCAATATTATACTGAAAGGAACAAAACAATTTAAGTTCTTCAGACCATAAACAATCACTTTCATGGGCGGACCAACACTTCCATACCCCGACTAATTATAAAATCACCTGTCACTGTATTCATAAACATGTACACAGTGGACGAGTCGTCCAACCAAAATCGAAGACAACAAAAAAAATTCTAAACCTGTAATTCACTAATTATCCCAAGTAAGGAACTGATCAAATTTTCTCCATCAAAAACCAAAATTCATCATCAAACCAGAGAAAAACAGAGTGAAAAATTCAACCATCAATGCAGTTACACAATACCCATTAATTCACATACGGAAGTAGACATCAATGAGAAAATTCAACCCAGATTGGACCAATAAAATTTAGGGTAAATCTCGAAGCACTGGTCAGAGGAAGTAAAGAAAACTGCCAGTCCTAGTTGTTTCTCACTGTTCTTTTCGCTTTGCCTAGAAGCATAGAGAGAGAGAGAGAGAGTATGTACCTGATTTGTGCCTTCGACTCTGAAGTAGCTCTAAGAGAAAAGAGCTTTGTTCAATTGATTTGAAGTAGCAAATCTGAAGCAATAAATCGAGTTTGATCGATTGATTTGGGATTTAGATTTTGTGGCTTGAGAAGCGCATACGCATAGAGTCTCTGAGAGAAAGAAGATTTCAAGGTGCTTGTGACTTCACTGTCTATGAAGGCTTCTAGTTCAATCGATGGAGAGGCAGGAGTCTGACGTCAGCAAAGGAGGTTTGGGCTAACTAAATGTATCGAGCAAAAAACGGGCAGTGAAAAATAGATAGCCAGATAGTTAGTCTGTTGGAGCTACTTTTGAAAGAGAAAATATCTAAAATAGCTAAGGGTAGGGGTTTACCTAGCCTATTGGAGATGCTTTTATGACATGTGGAGGGATTGCACAGGAGGATGTGGGAGCAGCAAATCAGTATGGAAAGGTATTGTCCACCCTCTCTGATGGCTATAATCATATTGTTTCTCTCTCTATCACTGGATTAGACAATGTTAACCCTAAGGAAACAGCTTTGATCCCCTATTTACAAATTTATCCTACAGAGAATGAATTTTCACAAACACCCTTTGTCTCTTCCTTACCCCATTTGGTCACAAATTTAAGCCCAAACCTGGATACTCAATCTATTTTGTATGCCAACCCAAAAAGCCCATCAAAACCTCATAACCAATCACTTACATTTGAAAACCCAGAAAACCCACCCACCAAAACGATCACTTTTAATTGGTAACTTAGAAAGCCCACCCACCATTACCCATTTACCTTTAATTGGTAACCCAGAAAGCCCAACATTCTACATGCTATCATGTTTCAATCTATGGCTCAAGGGGGTTATGCAATCAAGCGGAGAGTACAAGGATTTCAGTGAGAGAGGATGTGGCCAGTTTTTTGAACACTATACACTATACACTCCATTCCGATTTCCCAACCTGAGTTGATAGTTGACCACTGTATGGCACACGTTTTCCATAAATTGTCTCTTAAACCTCACCTCCCAGAACATTGGTCTAGGAATAAAAATTGTAAGGTGCAGAGAAGGGAAGATGGATTCCTTGTAGTAGGGGAAGCTGTTGATGGTATAAGAGTGCAAGAAGAAGGTGTAAGTATTACTGTGCAAGATAAAGATGTAAGGGTGATGCAGAATGATGTTGAGATAAAAGGGGATACGAAGGAAAATGAGTCCCTAGCAGGAAGAAAATCTGTGCGCAGATTCAGAGGAATAAAGTCTACAAGGAGTGTGAGGAGCAGGGGAAAAAACCAACTTCATGATGTGTGCATGGAATGGAATGCAGAAATCTCTGAAATGGCCGAGGAGACGGGCCTTAACATGCCCCCAACTCTACCATGAAGCTAATTGCTTGGAACTGTCAAGGGTTAGGGGCTACCTTAACAGTTCAGGCAATAAAGGACCTTTGTGTCCAGTATAGACCCCTGGTGATATGCCTATGTGAAATAAAAATCAAAGTAGAAAAAGTTGAGAGAATTAAAAGAGAGTTGAGGTTTTCCAAAAAAGTTGTTGTGGATCTAGTTGGGCTGTCAGGAGGATTATGTATCCTATGGAATGAAAGTGGTTTATTGGAAGTTGAAGAAATTAACAAGAACTATATTCATGCTACAATGAAAACAGGACTTTTAGAAGATCCTTGGCATCTTACCTTTGTGTATGGTGATCCAAACTATGATAATAGAGTCCAGCAATGGGACTACCTGTCTGCGTATGGGTGGAGCATTGAACTCCCTTGGTTGTGTATTGGTGACTTTAATGATATAGTATTTAGAGGGGAGAAGGAAGGCCTCAGAGATAGAGCGGAAAGAAAGATGAGAAGTTTTAGGGGTTTTATAGACAATAGTAATCTGATGGACCTTGAAACAAAAGGTTGCAGATTTACCTGGGACAACCATAGGCAGGGATCTGCCAATGTTAAAGAGATATTGGATAGGGTTTTGGCTTCTGCAAGTTGGAGGATGGCTTTTCCTAATGCAATGGTGATTGCAACCCCTGCAATTGGGTCTGATCATTCACCCTTATTGTTGGAAACTGAACCAAAGACGGATAGAGTTAGGAAGCCTTTTCGGTTTGAGGCTTTTTGGATGGACAAGGACCAGTGAGCTGAGGTTGTTAAAAATGGTTCGGAGCAGGCTGTGCATGGATCCAGAATGTACCGGCTCAAGCAAAGAATTAAAAATTGTGAAAGGGAGTTAAAAGGATGGAATGCAGCCCATTTTAAGAATAGTCGAAAACATATTGAAGTTTTAAAGGTCCAGTTAGTTAACATTCAGAAGTGCTCAGGGAGTGAATATTCTCAAATAGAAATGGTTAAAATTAAAGCAGAGATTGAAAAGTTATGACAGAGGGAGGAAAAGTATTGGGGACAAAGATCAAGGGTGAGATGGCTTAAGATGGGGGATAGGAATACTAAATTCTTCCATACCACTACAATTCAGAGGAGGCAGAGAAATAAAATTATTATGATCAAGGGGCATAAGGAACAAGGGGAGACTGACACACGAAAAGTCAGATAGATTATACATGAGTACTATGAGAGGCTATTTAAATCAGAGGGTCAAAGGTTTTATGAGCAAATCCTATCAGGAATTCCTCAAACTATTACACGGGAGATGAATAAGATTTGATGAGGGCTCCAACAATAGAAGAAGTAAGAAGAGCTGTGTTTAGCCTTGGAGCTTTAAGAGCCCCAAGACCTGATGGCCTACCAGGAATTTTCTACTAGAAATATTGGTCTATTGTACAAGGTGGAGTTTTTGATGCTAATACAAGGTTTCTTCCGTTCTGGCTTTTTATTAAGCGAACTGAATGAAACTAATGTGGTTTTAATACCTAAAGTTGCTAATCCTGAACCAGTGGGGGAGTATAGGCCAATCAGTTGTTCGAATTTTATTTATAAGGTCATTGCTAAGATGCTAGCACTAAGGATGAAATCTTTCATGAATCAATTGGTCTCTCAACACCTAAGTGCCTTTGTGGAAGGGAGGTTAATTCAAGACAATATTATTATTGCTCAAGAGTTGATGCACTCGATGAGACAAAGAATAGGGACCAGGAAATATCAAATGGCCTTGAAGCTTGATATGGCCAAAGCTTATGACCGCATGGAATGGGATTTTTTGAAGGACCTCTTGTTGCAAATGGGGTTTGATCCTAGGTGGGTGGCCTTGATAATGCAGTGTGTGACAACTATTAGGTATAATATTGTTGTTAATGGTGAGAAATCCTCTCTGGTGAATCCCTCCAGGGGGATTAGACAAGGTGATCCTATCTTGCCCTATTTATTAATTTTGATAACTGAAAGTTTATCCAACCTGATAAGCAGAGAAATGCAGAATGGAAGATTACAAGGAATTAAGGTCAATAGTATTGCTCCTAACATCACTCACTTATTATTTGTTGATGACTCTATTTTTTTCTCTACAGCAAGCAAGCCCCAATGCCAGATATTAATGGATGTCTGAAATAGATATTGCTACGCTTCAGGGCAATTGGTAAATCTGAATAAATCTGGGGTGGTATTCAGTAGGAATACACCACTACACATTCAACAGGAGCTGGCAGGGTACCTCAAGATTCCCTTAATCCAATCAGCTGGGAAGTATCTTGGCCTGCCAACACAATTGGGGAGATCTAAGAAGCAGACTCTTGGGTGGTTAAAAGAGAGAATCATGGCTAAAATAGCTGGGTGGAAGGAGAAACTTCTTAACCATGCTGGAAAGGAGGTGCTTATTAAAGCAGCTATTCAAGCAATACCATCATATGCAATGTCAATCTTTAAGTTTCCCAAAGGCTTTTGCCAAGAGATAATGTCTAATGTCAAAAGATTATGGTGGAGTAAGGCATCTGGGGAGAGAGGAATTCATTGGAAGAACTGGGAACACATCTCTAGAAGAAAGGATGAAGGGGGTTTGGGTTTTAGAGATCTGGAGCGTTTTAATATTGCAATGCTTGCTAAACAGGTATGGAGACTGATCCAGAGTCCAGATTCACTGTGGGCTAAGCTTCTCAAGGCAAAGTACTTTCCTACAACTACCGTGTGGCAAGCTAAGATTAAGCCAAATTGCTCTTGGGGGTGGAGAAGTTTATGGAGCCAAGGGAGCTTGTTAGAGCAGGGTCTTTTTGGCAGGTTGGGGATGGGAGCCAAGTTAGGTGTTGGGAGGATACCTGGGTTCCACGGTTTGAAACTATTCAAAATCACCAGCAAAGCAACGTTCAAAGAGTGTATGATCTAATCGAATGGCCTGATAAGAGATGGAATATGGAGCTGATTACTGAAGTTTTCCATTTCCCCCCCCCTGAAGTTTTGAAGGAGATACTAGGTATTGTCCTAAGTGAAACACCACAGCAAGATAGAATTAGATGGAATCATACAAATTCAGGTGTTTATTTGGTAAGGAGTGGGTACCATCTTTTAATGCAAAGATCCAAAACCCCCCAAGCAACAACTGGGGCTTCCTCATCCTATCACGTACCTGAAAGTATATGGAAGATCATTTGGAAAATTCAAGTACCTCCTAAAGTCCAGTCCCTTATGTGAAAGAGGAGGCTCACCAAAGATCCTATCTGCCCTATATGTGGAGAGGAGGATGAGACAATTGAGCATTTGTTTTTGCTTTGTCCATGGGTCAATAGGATGTGGAAGGCCTCTCCTCATAATCTTAAAGTTGATAGATATGATTTAAGAAGGATGGAGGAATGGCTTATGATCCAGATCCAGTGTAAGGGGAATCAACCAATGAAATCACTTATGTGTTGGTTTATTTGGAAATCAAGAAATGAATGGATTTATAACCGTCATGTACCTCAGCATAACACTGTCATTCATAGAGCCCTTATGGCTACTGAGGAGTTTCTTTACAGCAAAGAAAAGCAAATACTCAAAGAGAAGACAGCGGAGGTGGCTTCCTCCTATCAATGTCCGCCTAAGGAGTGGATGAAAATCAATTGTGATGGGGCTTGGCTGGAGAAGACAGAGCAAGCAGCATATGGGGTAGCTGTCAGAGATGATAAGGGCTCATTTATTACTGGGGATGCTTGGTCTTTCACGGCTAAATCTGTTCTTGTTGCTGAAGCATGTGCAGTAAGGAGAGCTTGCAGTTTGGCATTGGAGCATGGATACCAACATGTTATAATAGAGTCTGACGCTAAGGCTCTTATGGACACGTTGGGCAAAGGTAATGAAGATGTATTAAGGGATATTGCTATGATTGTCCAAGATATATGGGTTTATGCAAGGCAGATACCCCAGGTTACCTTCTAGGCAGTAAGGAGGAATCAAAATGTGCTTGCCCACACAATAGCATCATTAGCTAGAAGGGGCAGCCTCCCTCTCAGTTGGCTTAATGTTATCCCAGTATGTATAAGGACTGTAATTAGGAATGAGGAAAGAGATGGGGTAGGCTGAGTTGTATTTGGTTTGTAGCAGGACCTTTTATATTAATGCAAGTTTGTTTTTTGACCAAAAAAAAAAAAAAGAAAGAGAAATTTGAGGGAGAGGAATCTAACCCAGTACTACATACATTTTCCAAATATGAACCAATTTAAAAAAATATGGTTACAATTAGAGTTGACAATTGAGTTAAGTTTTGCGAATTCGAATCGAGCCTGTCGATCTCATTTTTCTAAATAAGACTAAAAAATTGTTTAAACTCGACTCGTTTAAATACTAGTTGAACCCAAATCGAATTCAAAAGGAACCGAACTTAAATAACTTAGCTCAATTATCAGCCTTAACTACGGTACAATATTGTTTTGATATCATACTTGCATGTAGATTTGAGTTTAATCGATTTGTAGTTAAGGATTGTGAAAATTGATAAATAAGGTATAATAATAAAATAAAAAACTTCACACGTATCAAACTAATACTAAAAAAATTATTAATCATGAAATTACAGACTAACGCATTCTACGAAATATAGTTTTGAAGCAAGACAATAAACTAAATAGAAAAAAAAATCACGAGATTTGAGGTACACGTTATTTTACCCTAATAAATATTCAGTGTAATAGTTGCACCATTACATGATAACCCTAGTGGTTAATGTTAAGGATGCGTAACTGTTATGATAGATACTTTCTTTCTCTACCCATATTGTTGGTTGCAACTTGCACAACCTACAAGCTTTCGTCAGGTATCTCGATCGTAGCTAGCAAGCCTACGTCTCATTATTGTAACGGGCTTTCTGTGTCGTCTATACTTGGTAGCAGCCTTGTAACTTGCTTTTCCCCCGTCAGTCATAACAGCCTCCGTTCGGGAGGTTCAGCCTCGTGAAGCAGTTAACTATCGACTCTGATACCATATTGGGAGATTGGAAATCCATTAATTCAAAGTCGAATACATATATGTTTGAAATTTATATCCACCTAAAAACTTATGTCTATAAATAGTGAGTCCATCAATTGAATATTATGACACTTTCACTTATTTTCCGACTCGAGATGAAATTCCAACCCTTGCAACACTCGACAGTTTGTCTCTTGCAGCTTGTTCAATCAGTGGGCCAAACTATATATGCGGATTATCCGT